GGGATAGTGAAGTAAGGCAGCAGCCTAGAGCTGTGTGTTCCCGCACAGTGGCAGCAAGAGATTGTATTTGAATTGCATAGCTTATAGAAGTGGTCAGTGTGTCTGCAGCGGAGCAGGTTTATTCTGGCTTCTCTCGCTGCTGGGAGGAGTGTTTGTTCTTATAACATTTCCTGGGTGTTAGGAGGGAAGGTGGCACGCGAGTATTGTTATCGTCTACAGTTACTGCCTACTGTTTGTGCTAACTTTTATTGCATACTGTTAGCCTGCGCGAGTGGTTTGGCTTCGGCGAGGCAGAAGAGTGTATCTTCAGGAGGGAGGTGTTAGGGGTCGTGTGGAGACAGCGCGGTCACCTAACTGCACTGGTTAAAACCACTAATGAGGCCATCCTCCTTGGCATTTAGATCAGTGTTGTTCTCATGTCCAGACACTGTACAGTCTTAGACCAGTGGTGATGGAGGTGTTTACACTGGGCGGCTTGGGGAAAGATATTCGACAGGGAGAGCGTCTTCACCTCCTGTCTCATATACTTCAGGTCGCTACATGAGAGTGGTGTAAAGTAAACTGTGTTAGACGCCTGACCAGTTGATGTGGCTTCGGTTGAAAACACAGTGGATTGGTTGGTGCAGGGGGGGGGGAGGACCTTCCCTAAAGAAGATGTAACAGAGTCGTGTGTGAGGGCCGGTCGTCGGCTCCCCAGCAGGTTTGTTACAAAGACTTTTAGTTTTGTGGCGGGTGTTACCAGCACAAGTCAGTCTTAGTGGAAGAGGGGAGAGTTACCCAACCATGCCCGCTGGATTCAGTTTCGCTAATTTTATGTAAAGGACTTAAGGTACGTTAAGGCTGGAGGGCAGGCGAGGTAATGGGGTGTACTGACGGTGGTGTAACTGTGGGGGAGAACAGCGGTGTTTATCTGGTGTTCTGCTGAGGTACGCTGTTGAAATATGGTTCTGTCGACGATGGATTCTGGGCCGTCAAATTTCCGGAGTTCTAATTGGTCGAGGTGTGTGTGTGGTGACTCGCGAGCTGCTGGCTTTGTGAACTTTGTATAAAAAAATATATATATATATTGTTGCTGGGGACGGTGTGTTGTTGTGGGTTGTTGTGGGGTGTTGTTGGGGTGATGTTGTGGGGTGTTGTTGGGGTGATGTGTGATGATGTGGGGTGATGTGTGATGTTGTGGGGTGATGTTGTGGGTTGTTGTTGGGGTGATGTGTGATGTTGTGGGTTGTTGTTGTGGGGTGTTGTTTGGGGTGTTGTTTGGGGTGATGTTGAGATAAGGAGCGCCACTAAATACGTGATATATTGAGGAACATTATAGTACTTCAGTGATATTTTTCCAAAAGTCACTGTTCTTTTTACACTATTATGATTCGGTCAACTTTAATTATAAAAACATCTCTAAATGCTTTAATATGTAAACTAGCCCAACCGCGATACACGGAGGACCATCCAGGCTCTAGAGTATTAATTTAGCTTATTATAAAGTCTTTAAATACCATCAGTACTGTGGAGTAAATTGGAGTATCAGCTGGCTACTCCGTCAACATTAATAAAGCATTACTTGTGTTATTGGCCAACGTTGTCAAAAACGTTCAATAATGAAAAATAAAAAAAATAACGGCATCAAGTTGCAACCTAATAATTGCTTTTCTCTCTCTCTATTTTTTTTAACTTTTTCTTTATTTTCCCTCTTCATTCGTTTCTCTTTACCCTTTGGCTCTTCCTCCTTTTCACCTCCTTTCACTTCTCCTAATCTAACTTTCCCTTTCTTTCTGTCCATTTCACCGCATTAAATATCAAGAAACACTTCATGATGAAAACAATGAGAGGATTATAAAAGCTTTTTAACATAACCGGGAAATATTAATAGCTACCACATATCCCTCCTGTGTGAAGGGTATAAGAACTCCTACGTCAAGTCAGCTGGTGAAAATTTTATTTAACACGTCTCAGCACTTTTATGTCTTCAAAGTTTGTCTCGTAAAAAACTTTGGCTGTCATATGAACGACTTTAATTGTATAAGTTCAGGTGGGACAGGTGCGAGTTAAATTGGTGGTATAAATGCACCAGTTCTTGTCCATCACAATACTACTACTACTATTACTACTACTTATACCACTGATAATAATATGCAAACCTACAAATCCAAACATCACAGTTTTACAAGGGATACACACAGCCAATCAACCCCTGTATAAACTACACGTAAATGCTTACTAATTACCATGGTACCTTATGCTACCTGTACGCACTATCAGACACTATACCTGCTGTACTCTGGTTAAGACAATTGCACAAGGGCAGGTGGAGATGTGGGAGTGATCAGCTGCTCAGGTGAGTGTGTGTGACTCCACCTTAAGACGTGATGAAGAGGCACTGTGTTCCCAGACACAAGTGAGGGGTTTGAGACCAAGGGGGGTAGTGGGGGATGAGGGGGAGGAAGAGGAAAAGAAGGAAGAGGAGAGGGAGACATTTACGATGAAATGGAGGAGAGGGAGAAGGGAAGGTAGGAGGGAGAGGAAGGAAGGAGGAGGAGAGAAGGAAGGTAGGAGGAGAGAAGGAAGGTAGGGAGGAGAGGAAGGGGAAGGTAGGAGGAGGGGAAGGGTAGGAGAGGAAGGGTCTGGAGTGAAAGGGAGGGTCACGCCTGTCTGGTAAACAGAGAAGGGAAAAGTGAAAGGGGGGAAGGATGGAGAGAGAGAGGGTATGAGGGAGAGGAGGATGGGAAGGGGTATAAGAAGAGGGTGGGGGAGGAAGAGAAGGGGTGAGGAAGAGGAAGGGGTAAGGAAGAAGGATGAGGAGTGAAGGAGAAAACAACAAGCAGCGAAAAAGGACGAAAAGATGAGGAAGAGAGAAGAGTAGGGAAGTTAGGGAAGGGGAAGGGAGACAGGGTAGGGGGGTAGATAGAAAAGGAATGGACAAGGAAATGGGAGGGAAGTAAGTAGGAGGCGTAGTGAAAGGGAAAAAGAAGGGAAAAGGAGGAAGAAAGAGGCGATAGAGAGAGAGAGAGAGAGAGAGAGAGAGAGAGAGAGAGAGAGAGAGAGAGAGAGAGAGAGAGAGAGAGAGAAAATAATAAAATAAAATTTTATTAATTGACTTCAAAGAATACTGAATTTATATTGACATTAACTACTAATTAAAAATTTTTCGAGAAAAAAAAAAATAATAATATTTCAAAGGAGAGAAAAGAAAGTATATTTTTCAAGCTGTAGAGGGGAGTGAGGGAGTGGGAGGGGAGGAGGAGGGAGGGGAGGAGGAGGAGGGAGGGAGGAGGAGGGGGTGAGGAGGAAGAGAGGGAGGAGGAAGGGGTGGGAGGAGGAAGGGAGTGAGGGAGGGAGGTGGGAGAGAAGGGAGGAGGAGGGAGGGGTGGAGGGGAGGGAAGGGAGGGAGAGGAGGGAGGGAGGAGGGAGGGGTGAGGGAGGAAGGGAGGAGGGAGGGAGGGGTGGGAGAGGGAGGTGAGGGAGGGAGGAAGGGGAGGGGAGGGAGGGGTGAGAGGGAGGGAGGGGGAGGAGGGAGGGGGGTGAGGGAGGGGTGAGGAGGGAGGGGGTGGGAGGAGGGAGGGAGGGAGGAGGAGGGGGGAGGAGGGAGGGAGGAGGAGGGGAGGGGTGGAGAAGGGGAGGTGAGGGGAGGGAGAGTGGAGGGAGGAGGAGGAGGGGGGGGAGGGAGGGAGGGGTGGAGGAGGGAGGGGAGGAGAGGGAGGGGGGGGAGGAGGGAGGGGTGAGGGAGGGAGGAGGAGGAGGAGGAGGAATGGAGGGGTAGAGAGGAAGGGAGTGGGAGGAGGGAGGGGAGGAGGAGGAGGGAGTGGGAGGAGGGAGGGATTGAGGAGGGAGGGAGAGGGAGGGAGGGGAGGGAGGGAGGGAGGGAGGGAGGGAGGAGGGAGGGAGGGAGGGGAGGGGGGAGGGAGGGGAGGGGTGTGGGAGGGAGGGAAGGGAGGAGGGAGGGAGGGAGGGAGGAGGGGAGGAGGAGGAGGAGGGAGGGAGGAGGAGGGGAGGGAGGGAGGGAGGGGAGGAGGGAGGGAGGGAGGGAGGGAGGGAGGGAGGAGGAGGGAGGGTGGGGAGGGAGGGGTGGGAGGAGGGAGGGAGGAGGGGGAGGAGGGGAGGAGGGAGGGAGGGGTGGGAGAGGAAGGGAGGAGAGGAGGGAGGAGAGGGGAGGGAGGAGGAGGGAGGGGAGGGAGGGAGGGGAGGGAGGAGGAGGGAGGGAGGAGAGGGAGGGAGGAGGAGGGAGGGGGGGAGGAGGCAGAGGAGGAGAGGGGGAGGGGTGGAGGAGGGGAGGGGGTGGGAGGAGTGAAGGGGTGAGGAGGGGAGGGGGTGAGGAGGAAGGGGTGAGGAGTGGGAGAGGGAGGAGAAGGAGGGAGAGGGAGGGGAGGAGAGGAGGGAGTGAGAGCGAAGGAGGAGGAGGGAGGGAGGAGGAAGGAGAGAGAGTGGAGGGGACGAGCCAATAGAGTTAAAGGGGAAGACTTGTTCATTTTACCGGCACTTTGGGTCAACCTACGATTTTTTTTCTTTTCGTTTTCCATTCGTCTTTTTTGGCACACATGCACCCCCTTTGGTTTTGATAATGTGTGTATTGCTATGTGTAAAAATATTATATTTTACACACACACACACACACACACACCAAATAGTATATGTACAGAACAGTGGGGCTGATCCTTACAATATTCAGTGGCATGAGCCTCGGTACTAAAGCTGTGTGTCCTAACATCGGTTCAGGCAACATAGTAGAATATATATTATTGAAATTAGTTACATGAAACACAAATATATTTCCAAAAATCCTTATAATTAACTTCAACACACACAAAAATAAATAAATAAATAAATAATAAATAAATAAATAAAATGGTAAAATAACACGTTAAAAGGTTAAAATAAAAGGGTATTATTTGTAGACAGAAATAAATTAATCACGAAATTAATTCAAATATAAAATTATCAATAAATGGACTTTGTAAAGATCCAAGCGAAACGTTACTCAGGCCAGACGCTATACTGATACTCACAAGAGCCTGAAGTGAGAGTTGATCTACCACAAGGTACATCGTTATATCCCTTACTGTTTGTGAACATCAAGATCTCTTGGTGAATGTGGGAGCTCCTGCTGGTGAACGATCTGAACGGTAGAAACAGCTGAGGGCCTGAAGATTGTTACTGTGAGAGGGGAAATTTGAGAGCCAGAGAGCGATATGAAATCCTGGAGACACGTAGGTTACGGCGTGGAGCAAGACGGGAGATTGAACGATTGATTGCTTGATTGATTGATTGATTCATTGATTGATTGTGATAATTACATCCCTGGCGAGGCAACAGCAAGACGGGAGAAGATGAAATCACAATTGATGTGAAAAAAAAACAAGACGATGGACTAAGGCAAAGTAGACAAGTTTAAATACTTAGGATATGAAGGTGGAGGAAGGGTGTGAAGAGGGAGTGAGGAATAGGGTGAAGGGGAAGGATGGGCGACATAGAGGAAGGTTGAAGTGTTTTAAGTGACAAATAATGATTAGACCGGTGTTGTTGATGAAGAAAAAAGAAAGAAGACGAAGAATACGAAAATGAAGAAGAAATACTGAGAAAGAAGAAAAAGAAGAAGAAGAAAAATAAGATCTAATACGAGAGCCAGGAAGAATCTGATCAGAGAAAGGAGATGAGGTGGAGGGATGTGGGTCAAGGAAACACGTCGAGCGGTAAGAAGTGAAGGAGGCTGAAGACACAACCTAAAGTACATGAATTCAAGGAACCGATCTATGACTTTAAGGAAGAGCTAGGGGGGACTAAAATAGAAGACTGACCAATACCCTGAAAAATCGCCTGAAACCACTGCTAGACTAACAAACCCTATGTGTTATTTTGGAAACAGCCATCTCCTCTTCTTCAACCAGCGTGGGAAACTTTCAAGCCCAGGGGGGAAAAAACTCACATCCTCTTGTATATTTGTCCAACAGCCGGGGATAAAAGTTGTGATACAAGGAAAAGCTACAGGCTGGCTGGGTGAGCTATGGGCTTTGATGGACTGATAGGCAGAGTGGACTGGAGGTAAGACCTTTGTGTTGATGTAAAGTAAAGGAATCTTGGAGGAGGAGGAGGAGAGAGAGAGATAGAAAGAGAGACTTGATCCTCCTTCGGGCTGGGATTAACCGGATTTAGAGGATTTAAAGAATTACTTAATATGCCTACAGGTGAGTTAGTGTCTTATCTCGTTGAATAATAACACGTGTTCTAATCTGAGGAATCATCTCGTACAGTCATTACCCATTATGTGTTTTTCCCGATTATTGTTTTTATTGTCTGCTAATTTTCCGTCAATAATTCAAGTTATTATCCTGTTTTATTTACCTAGTTGTGGTTAATTTTAGTGACCTGTGGGGAGGGGGGGTTGGGTCAGATAGTGGGTCGTATCTTCCGTGACCTAAGGCAACCCACTTCCTTTCATCTCTAGTTCCTCCACCTCACCTAACCTCTTTCACATTGTGTACCGCCTTTCACTAACCCACCCATCCATCAACCCACTCAACCACCCAACCATCAACCCACTCAACCACCCACCCACCAACCCACCCCTCATTTTCATTCCAGTGCACAATAAATATCCCTCCCTCCCCCCTCACATTACTATGCCAATGCCAGGGGGACGAATCCAGTAAAGTGATTGGACGTCTTTAAGCCTCGACTGTATGAGAATTGGCCAGACACCTTTACCCAAGGACAAATTTGAGCTCGAGGGTAATTAATATGGTATGATCAGTATAAGTTAAGTTAGGTTAGGTTAATTTAAGTTAGGTTGGGTTAGTTTAGGTTAGGTTAACGTTGGGAGGTGAACTGTGTATAGGATATGATAAGAGGCTTTATCGATGAGTTTGCTGGCGTCTTTAGAGCTGTGACAAGAGGATGAATGTCAAGGGGAAAAATCATAAAGTGTTTGATGTTGAAAATCTTACTTTGTACGTATATGATTTTACTTGATGAGTGAAGCATAATTACATTTTCTGTTTGAGATTAATACTAAATAGAGATAGGTATTCTGACTCTATAGTATAGACTCGTATCTTAAACTACAGTAAATCCTAAATCAATAAATCCAAGAACAAGCTCGTCACTTCACACCAGCACACAGTAATGAGTTTATTTGTTATTATTATTTTATTTTCATTTATTTCCCCGTTTAGGACACCCATGTTATATCGACCTACCTTCCACACTGTTCTCCATCACGACAGTCTATGGGCTCTCTTTTTCACACACACACACACACACACACACACACACACACACACACACACACACACACACACCGAAGTCGACCCTGAATTTAACTTAAGCCACATAGATACCTCAGGACACGATCATCACAACAGGAATTAAGACACATTAACACAACACCTGTACATTATAATACAATATCTAGATAATAGTGTTCGAAGGTGACTCCAAAGAACTCAGGTGTGTAAACTAGACAAGTATTAATAACTCAAAATAACTTCTTCTTTTCTGGGTATAACAACACTTACATATCACGATGCCTCAGAAGTAACACCAAAAACAATATGAATATCGGGAAAGATAATTAAACGCTTGTGTGTTTATGACTGGTAGAAAGGATTGAGGTGTTGTCATTAGCGAAAAACTCACATCAAGAAGACAACATACAGATGGAACTTAAAAAAGAACAAGATGGGTAAGAGGTGTTAAAAATGACATCAAGAAACCCGAATAAAAATCAACAACATCAAAGAACATTTCCATACACGCTGAACATGTCTCTGGTTGGTCCTTAACTTAAAATATCCAGTACAGTTCTGGTCAACTATTTTTTGGACGGATATCGACAAGACAGGCTGGAGCGAGAACAGTTACGGAAAGTCCGATTTATCCCGGGCGAGGACTGAGAGAAAACAGGATTAATGAAGACTGAGAGAAAACAGGACTAATGAAGACTGAGAGAAAACAGGATTAATGAAAACTGAGAGAAAACAGGATTAATGAAGACTGAGAGAAAACAGGATTAATGAAGACTGAGAGAAAACAGGATTAATGAAGACTGAGAGAAAATAGGATTAATGAAGACTGAGAGAAAACAGGATTAATGAAGACAGAGAAAACAGGATTAATGAAGACTGAGAGAAAACAGGATTAATGAAGACTGAGAGAAAACAGGATTAATGAAGACTGAGAGAAAACAGGATTAATGAAGACTGAGAGAAAACAGGATTAATGAAGACTGAGAGAAAATAGGATTACGAAAAACTGAGAGAAAACAGGATTAATGAAGACTGAGAGAAAACAGATTAATGAAGACTGAGAAAACAGGATTAATGAAGACTGAGAGAAAACAGGATTAATGAAGACTGAGAGAAAACAGGATTAATGAAGACTGAGAGAAAACAGGATTAATGAAGACTGAGAGAAAACAGGATTAATGAAGACTGAGAGAAAATAGGATTAATGAAGACTGAGAGAAAATAGGATTAATGAAGACTGAGAGAAAACAGGATTAATGAAAACTGAGAGAAAACAGGATTAATGAAGACTGAGAGAAAATAGGATTAATGAAAACTGAGAGAAAACAGGATTAATGAAACCAGAGAAAAACAGGATTAATGAAAACCGAGAGAAAACAGGATTAATGAAAACTGAAGAGAAAAACAGGATTAATGAAGACAGAGAAAAATAGGATTAATGAAGACTGAGAGAAAATAGGATTAATGAAAAACTGAGAGAAAAAACAGGATTAATGAAACTGAGAGAAAAACAGGATTAATGAAAACTGAAGAGAAAAAAACAGGATTAATGAAGACAGAGAAAATAGGATTAATGAAGACTGAGAGAAAACAGGATTAATGAAGACTGAGAGAAATGGTGGATTAATGAAGACTGAGAGAGAAAACAGGATTAATGAAGACTGAGAGAAAAACAGGATTAATGAAGACTGGAGAGTAGTAGTAAATAGATTAATGAAGACTGAGAGAAAATAGGATTAATGAAGACAGAGAAAATAGGATTAATGAAGACTGAGAGAAAATAGGATTAATGAAGACTGAGAGAAAACAGGATTAATGAAGACTGAGAGAAAATAGGATTACGAAGACTGAGAGAAAACAGGATTAATGAAGACTGAGAGAAAATAGGATTAATGAAGACTGAGAGAAAACAGGATTAATGAAACCGAGAGAAAACAGGATTAATGAGAGAAAACAGGATTAATGAAGACAGAGAAAACAGGATTAATGAAGACTGAGAGAAAATAGGATTAATGAAGACTGAGAGAAAATAGGATTAATGAAGACTGAGAGAAAACAGGATTAATGAAAACTGAGAGAAAACAGGATTAATGAAGACCGAGAGAAAATAGGATTAATGAAGACTGAGAGAAAACAGGATTAATGAAAACTGAGAGAAAACAGGATTAATGAAGACTGAGAGAAAATAGGATTAATGAAAACTGAGAGAAAACAGGATTAATGAAGACTGAGAGAAAACAGGATTAATGAAAACTGAGAGAAAACAGGATTAATGAAGACTGAGAGAAAATAGGATTAATGAAAACTGAGAGAAAATAGGATTAATGAAAACTGAGAGAAAACAGGATTAATGAAGACTGAGAGAAAACAGGATTAATGAAGACAGAGAGAAAACAGGATTAATGAAGACTGAGAGAAAACAGGATTAATGAAGACTGAAAGAAAATAGGATTAATGAAAACTGAGAGAAAACAGGATTAATGAAGACTGAGAGAAAATAGGATTAATGAAAACTGAGAGAAAACAGGATTAATGAAGACTGAGAGAAAATAGGATTAATGAAAACTGAGAGAAAACAGGATTAATGAAGACTGAGAGAAAACAGGATTAATGAAAACTGAGAGAAAACAGGATTAATGAAGACAGAGAGAAAACAGGATTAATGAAAACTGAGAGAAAACAGGATTAATGGATGGAAAATGTTCACTGAAATGAAAAAAAAAAAATTACATGTTTGAACTTACACACTAAAATACCACCACATGGGAAACGGTGGTAGCGTGAACAATTAAGGCAATAAATCT